GGGAACCATAGCCCTAATAGGAAAGGGGCCTCAAAGAAACAGGCCTCGTCCTAGACCAAATAATGAAAACGACACGTATTAGCATGACGCGCAACCATACCAGACGGGATATCAAAATGCCTGGCAAGAGTATGAGCCTCTTCCTCCCCAATCTCACTAGCCTCAACATCTAGAAAGAGATGTTCCATAACATCGAGAGAAGAAAGAAGGACCCTAGCTATGAGAACAGGAGGATAATATCTTCCCTTGAAGGCATTGAAGGAGAAGAGTCGCGACCATGGAGAAAGCAAAAGGTTCTAATGCCTAAGGTAAGGTAGTCAGTCCCTAGAAACGCCCATTTATAACCCTAACTAACGTGCATCCATCATCTCAGTCGGGCGCAATTAATGCATGTCCCTCGCATTTAAGTAAAGAACACGTGGCGTCGTGGGAATCACCAAAGTGTCACGATCAACGAACCACTATCCCCACTGGCAGCACACGTTCTTTAACAGATAAAACTGTCATGTCTAGAGTACGGAGAAAGGTGTGCAAAAAGACCAAAATGGCCCCATGGAATTTTTGGCTGAATCTGCCATCTTGCACTGGTCTACAATTAACCCGCCTTGAAAAAGGGCCAAGTTAGCTTGGCTACACAAGGCCAAGCCTTTGGCCCCACCACGACCACATGAAACAACTCAGGAACCATAAATTAAGGATCTCGAAGTCAACAAACAACATCATCACTTTCATTCAACAGAATCAGGGAAGAAGATATCGTTTACAAGCAATAAGAGAACAACAACATTCCTAGTAAGAAGCCGTTCTAAACGAAAAATTACAAAGATAAAGTGCTACAAAGATCCTCGTCGAATCACCAAAAATCAAAAGGGAGAAACAACTACGGGTCCACCTCAGGTAGCCGCCTTACCACAATCGCCGACTCCCTCATCAGTCCTCTAGGCTGGAACATTGGGCTCCTTAGAAACGGAGGCCCTCTTAGCACCTAACACCACAACCTTTTCAACAGCAACAGACCCCTTCTTGTACTCAAGCCGCGGCACAAAATAATGAAGGTCAAGGTCAGGATGAGCATCCTCGATTTGATCCCTACAGTTCAGGAACCCTTTCACAAAGGCAGAGATGCCCTCTCTCAATAGCTCAGCCACCCGGGCCCGCAAAGACGACAGCTCGAAATCCTTGGCCTTCAGGTCTACATCCTTGGCTTTGATTTCTTTGTCCTTGGCTGTGAGGTCTGTATCTTTAGCCTTGAGTTTAGCCTCCAAACCCCCAATCTGTGAATTTTTGAGTGCGATATGGTTCTGACGGTGGGAGTCCAACTCATCGTTAATCCTCTTCAATTCTGCAACCTTAGAAACCAGAACCTGCAGTTTTCCCTCGGCAACATCCTTGCTGGCCGTCATAATATCAAGAGCATCCTGAGCTTTCTAGAGATCCCGCTCATGATGGATATCCAACATCTTCACGCATGCAAGCGACTACAAAAAAAAAAGGATCGATCAACGCGAAAAATAGGGAAAGAATTCAAGAATGACTGAGTAAATTAACAAAACAAGAAGGTACCTCGACCAGGCCTTGGATGATATGCTAGATCTTCTTTTTAAAGGGAACCTCCATCGCCGCTGCGGCTTCAAGATCGCGAAGAAAGCCGCCCCCCACGCACCTTAGACTTAGAAGGGATGGACTCCCCTCTTCCACCCTTCAGAGGAATCGTCTCAGGTGAGGTAGAATGGGGGGCTGAAAATTCGAGCTTGTCTGCTGAAGTCCCCTCCGAGCCAATGTCGCCCTTGGAAATTACAGGAGAAGGCGGGGGCACGACAGCATCCCCTCGGGGAGGAACGACTCCACTTTTCTGTCCCAAAGAAATGGGTATGGGCCCAGTGGCTGATGCCTGCTTGGGTGGCAGTTGGCCTCCCTTCGCCAATCTCTTCCTCTTTCTTGACTGCTCGGTATCCGAGAACACCGCCATGATCAAATCTTGGTCCATGTTGCCCGACGGGGAGACAGAAGGTGGAGCAGCCTTTGAAGCTTGGATAATGAGCGGTCCAAGCCCGTGTTTAGCGAGGTTCTCGTTGGTCACCAAGTCGAAGAAGTCCCTCAACCTAAAGACCTAAATTCTAGGAATTCGGGCTGCCTCTTTCATGTCGAGTACTGGGCAGAATTCTGTAAACCAGATCAAAAGTTAGAAACACAAAAAAAAAGGAGGAGAAAAGAAGATAACAAAGGGGAATGCGGCCAATAGATTAGCCTTACGAGTGTTCCTTGGGACCCCCCAAGATCTTGGAACATGAAGAACGTCGCCAGGCTCCCTGACAACTCCCAGGAATCATCCTTGGCAAAAAAGAACCTCAATTTCCATCATTATTGGAAAATGAAAGCCCGGAGATTAGAGTCTTCACCTTTAGTCGTTTAGCAAAATACAAGAAACCTGAGGAGGGAGAGGACTTCAACTGGAAAAGGAAAGCAAATTCTCGTATAGAGAGAAGGGGGAAGGTTCCCGCTCTCAAACCAATGGACGAGGAAACCAACCAAAAGGCCCCAACCATTGGAGACAGCTGGGCTAGGCAGACGTTGTAGAATTCGAGAATATTTCAGATGAAGATATGGATAGGAAATCGAAGACCAGCCCGAAATTCAGACTCGAAGAAGCAAGTGAGTCCAGGGAGGATAAAATTGCACCTTTCGTGCTTCCCAGGGGAATGTAATTCCACGAAATCAGGAAAGTGATACTCATGCCTTAACTCCTCCAAATCCTCATCATCAAGACAACTAGGGGTCCCTTCCGCACAACAAGTCAGGTCAGGACGGTTCGCGAGGAGTTTTTTTTTTAGAAACGGGGGGTAGAGCCTACTCGGATTTCCCTTCCTTCGTTCTAGTCAGATAACCAGGAGGCAGGGCAAAAAGAGGTACTGCCTCCGCTGAAGGCACTAGAGATGAAGCTGCGGGAGTAGACTCAAGGACTCCACCGCCGGCGAAAAGGGAACGCCAGCTAGAGGAAGCCGTGGTGGTCTCGTCGACCTCCCCATTAACGGATTCCGATTCGAAAGAGGAAGAAACAACAAATTTTCCATCAAAAAGTCGGATCTCACGCCAGAATGAAGGGAAGGGAAATGAAAGAAAGGCAATCTGCCAAAAATAAGGGTTTCAGACACCAGGCCCTAAGTAAGGATACCTCGCCACTGAAGAACGGTCTACAAATCGCCAAAGGGAAGAAAGATCGTCATAGTGTTCTCTGAAATAACTAAATCTCTAGACCAAAAAGCGGAACCTAAAATCCCACCAGGGAGGGTTAAATGGATCCAAATCGAAATAGTAAGGAGAAAGGAAGAAAGATGTACCTAGTGAAACGCTAAAAGAAGAAAAACCAGAGACGAATATGTCGTAAGTCACCCCAGAGTCCGAGTCAAAACACTTCGAATGCACAAAAAGGGAAGAGAGCACGAGAGAGGGTGGAACTCGAAACCACATACCAAAAAACCAAGAGACCTCCCCCCCTTTTTTACGAGGGACGTATATGTATGCGTGAAGAATTAAATTTGAGACAAGCAAGTGATAGGACACGCCAAAAAAGTCGTATCCACGAGCTCACCCGATGGTGACATGTGCGCATTGCTATCCCAGCATCGCCGGCAAACGGAAGCATGGCCCAATCTTGGTCAGAACCAATAGCCAGACATAGTCATCACTCCGAAAGCCCAAAACACGCCCAGTAAAGTCATTTTTAACCCCAAACCAGAAATGATAACATCTCCATGACCTGGGGCAGAGGGGCAACTTATATGGACGAAATTCACAGCCAAGGCCTTGATGGCCCAGAAGCCTGACCAGCCCAAGAGGTCCGGAGCAAAATAACGGGACCTGGCATCAGCAAAAAGCTTATAGCCCAGCAGTCCAGGCCCAGCCCAAACCATAAAGCGATTTGGCGAGTAAAAGCCCAATCCAAGTTATTTCTGGATGAGCAAAGGGGACCACGCGACCAGGGGGACCACCCCCTGACACCTACGACAATCTCAGAGAAGGTGGAGCACCAAGAGATCATGGTAACGGCAGTGCCGAATGAACAGTGATCATGGTAGCATAAGAAACAGGAAGGGGTCAAAGGAAAGGACAGTTGGAAGCCCTAGGAGAAGCTGATATAAATGGATAATGTTAAGAAAAGGACTGGAGCTCTCCCCCCCCCCCCCCAAAAAAAAAAAAAAAAAAAGATCAGTGAGTGCTAAGAAGCCAAATAATGCAGAAAACTAAGAGAGAATACCTAACCCCTTATCCTTTGTAAGTGGACCGCGAGTCCCCAAATTACTAGAGGCATTTCGCCAACCGATGAATATATAAATTCAGCGAGTAAGAAGCTTCGTTAATAGTGGACGTAGTCTTAGTCCTTTGGCTAAGATGAACTACTTATATTCTTAGTCTAACTAATCACAAATCCATAATCTGCAAAGTCATTTCGTAATGCCATCCCATCATAATCGGGCTTGGGCCCTAAAATCCGAGCACCATTAACCACCATCACCCTACTGTTGCCACCACCATCACTCACCGCTACCACCATTCAATTTTTAATATTTATTTTGAAGATATATTAAAAATTGAGGTATAAATAAATATTTTGTAACTGATAATTCAAATGCACTTTTTGATAAAAGGCTTTTTATTTGAGTGTTTTTTTATTTAAACATCCAAATGATATTTATTTAAAAATATTTTTTTCATTTTATAAGTTATTCCATACGTAATAAAGTTGATAGAAATTGTTAGAATTTGAAATTAACGACTTCCAAATACCAGAAACAACACAACAGTACATGTTTCTCTTGCATTCTCTCCCACCCACTCCTCAACTGAATCCAATTAATTACCCATATTCTATTCTAAATCTAAATCCCTTCTTCTCCTGCTACACTTTTCTCTCTCCTCCAACTGCAACTGAATTACAAATCCCAACGCCTTTCTTCCATTCTATCCCATTCCCCATTGTAACCGCAATAACTACGCAGTTCTCTCTCTCTCTCTTCTCCATTCAAGCATGCACATTTCTCTCTCACTCTCGCTTCTCTACATGGGAAATTTGCAAAACTTCCTCATTCTTCTCTTCCTCTCTCTAACTCTGTCTTTACCTCTCTGTCTCTCTCTAAACCAAGAAGGCCTCTACCTCCAAAGAGTCAAGCAATCTCTCTCCGACCCAACCGGCTCACTCTCCACCTGGTCCGACCGTGACGCCACACCATGCAACTGGACCGGCATCACCTGCGACAATTCGCCGTCTTCCTCCGTTGTTTCAGTCAATCTCACCACTGCCTCTCTCTCTGGTCCCTTCCCGTCCTTCCTCTGCCGCCTCCGTTCTCTCTCCTCAATCTCTCTCTCCAACAACTCCATCAACATGCTGCCGGCCACCATCTCCACCTGTCAAAATCTTACCCTCCTCGACCTCTCCCAAAACCTCCTCGTGGGCCCCATTCCTCCCACTCTCTCCGATCTCCCCAACCTCAGGTATGTACTCACCAAATTAAATATCAGTAGTAGCGATCGCTCATTTTTTGGTATATGTACACTTTGCCAAAAATCTGTTGACCAGTTGATAGATAATTTCAAGAAACTCTATGTTTCTATGATTTTATTTTTATATCTCTTTTTATATAGAGTATATTTGTTTGACTCATATTACAGGTACCTCAACCTGGATGGCAACAATTTTTCCGGTGACATTCCGGCAAGTTTAGGGAATTTCCAGCAACTTGAAACTCTCATTCTCTCTGAAAATCTCCTAAGTGGTACAGTCTCGGCGGTTCTTGGGAATATAACAAGTCTCAAATGGCTTCAACTAGCTTACAACCCGTTTGCACCGAGTCGCCTCGCTCCGGAACTCGGTAACTTGACTAATCTTGAATACCTCTGGCTTGCTGGGTGTAATCTAGTTGGTGAGATTCCGGAGAGTTTTGCTAAACTGAGCAGCCTGACTAATTTGGACGTGTCAATCAATCAGCTCACTGGGTCAATACCCAATTTGATTTTTCAGCTCAAAAATGTTGTACAGATTGAGCTGTATCAAAACTCGTTCACCGGAACTTTACCAGCGGGATGGTCAAACTTGACGGCGTTGAGACGTTTCGACGCGTCGACGAACAAGCTAACCGGGACGATTCCGGACGATTTGTGTGAATTACCATTGGAGTCACTCAATCTACAGGAGAACCAACTCGTGGGTTTGGTCCCAGAGAGCATAGCTAAGTCCCCGAACTTGCAGGAATTCAAACTGTTTAATAATCAACTCACTGGGTCATTGCCGAGTCAACTCGGTGTGAACTCTCCGCTACAAATCCTTGATGTATCAGAAAATATGTTTTCGGGTGAAATTCCAGAGAATTTGTGTGCAAAATGGGCTTTAGTAGAGCTTGTTATGATAGATAATTTATTCTCGGGGAATATTCCGGTGGGTCTTGGTAAATGCCGAAGCTTGAGCCGGGTCCGGTTGAGGAGCAACCGGCTTTTTGGGGAAGTTCCGGCTGAATTCTGGGGTTTGCCACATGTGTACCTGCTTGATCTTTTTAACAATTCATTTTCTGGGAATATTTCCCATATGATATCTGGTGCAAGAAATCTTTCAATCCTCATGATTTCAAAAAATAAATTTTCAGGGTCCATTCCTGATGAGATTGGATTATTGGGAAGTTTGATTGAGTTTTCTGCTAATGAAAATGAGTTTAGTGGAGAAATTCCTGGTCCATTAGTCCAATTGAGTCAACTAGGAAAGCTTGATTTAAGTAACAATGAGCTATCCGAAGGAATTCCGGTGGGAATTCAATCTCTGAACCATCTCAATGAGCTTAATTTGGCAAACAATAGGTTGTCCGGGAAATCCCGGATGATATTGGGAGATTGCCAGGGCTAAATTACCTTGATCTTTCTGGGAATTATTTTTCGGGAAAAATTCCATTGGGCCTGCAGAACTTGAAGCTTAGTAAGCTAAATTTGTCAAGCAATAGACTTTCGGGTAAAATTCCTCCTCTTTATGCTCAGGAAGTTTATAGAAACAGTTTCGTGGGCAATCCAGGCTTGTGTGATGATCTTGCTGGTCTTTGTCCTCCACAAGTTAGAGATAGGAATCAAGGTTATGTGTGGATACTTGGATTGATTTTTGCAGTCACTGGTACAGTTTTGATTGTTGGGGTAGTTTGGTTCGTTTGGAAGTACTGGAATATCAAGGAATCGAGGGAAGGAATCATTTTGTCAAAGTGGAGATCATTTCATAAGTTGGGATTTAGTGAATTTGAAATTTTCGATTGCCTCAATGAAGATAATGTTATCGGAAGTGGAGCATCTGGGAAAGTTTATAAAGTTGTGCTGAGTAATGGTGAGGTAGTTGCCGTGAAGAAGCTCTGGGAAAGGTCAAATAAAGACGACACAAGTTTTGAAAGCGCTGACTCTGCCAAAGATGAGTTTAAAGTAGAAGTTGAGACACTGGGAAAAATTAGGCACAAGAATATAGTCAGATTATGGTGTTGTTGCAACTCTGGGAATTGCAAACTTTTGGTATATGAGTATATGCCAAATGGGAGCTTAGGTGATTTGTTGCATAGCAAGGGTGCATTGTTGGATTGGCCTACAAGATTTAGGATAGTGCTGGATGCAGCTGAGGGGCTTTCTTATTTGCACCATGATTGTGTTCCTCCAATCGTTCACAGGGATGTCAAATCGAACAATATATTGTTGGATGGAGAGTTTGCAGCAAGAATTGCAGATTTTGGAGTTGCTAAGTTTGTTGAAGCAGTCAAGAGGGGGGAAGAATTCATGTCTGGAATTGCTGGTTCTTGTGGTTACATTGCACCAGGTATGGCTAGTCCATTACGTGATCACTTATGTTTTAGTATATCTGCCATATTGATCTGAATTTACTGCCAATTTGATTCACTAACCTGATGCAAATCTTTTTCCTTTGCTGTGTATCATGAAATTAGATAGTCCATGAATCTTCAGATAGGTTTCTGATATTCTCTTTGAGTTGAATTGAAATGTATATTTTCACAATCCTTCTTCCCATTATTAGAAATCTGTTAACACTGCATAGTGCACTGATCATTTCCCCTTTCCGAAATTGATGTAAGCTTAGGTCAATCGGAGATTTTATATGCATATCATGGGATTCGTTCTTGTATGCCATTTACCATTTACTCTTTTTTTCCCCCTTTTGAATCCACGTTTATGTACTGGACCTTTGTCATCAACATTGACATTCTCTCAGCAAAACAATTTGATTGTTTTGTTTGACATCTATTGGTGTGTGAAATTTTAACAAAGCTTTTCTGTTTGATCATAATCCACTGCAGAATATGCTTATACGCTTCGAGTGACTGAGAAGAGTGATATTTATAGCTTTGGAGTTGTCATTCTCGAGCTGGTGACCGGGAGACGCCCCATAGACCCAGAATTTGGGGAGAAAGACTTGGCCAAATGGGTCTGCATCACCTTAGACCAGAAAGGAGTTGATCATGTACTCGATCCCAATCTCGATTCCAGTTTCAAGGAACAAATTTGCAGGGTTCTTGATATTGGTGTACTTTGCGTTGGCCCTCTTCCAATTAATCGCCCTTCAATGCGAAGAGTGGTTAAACTGCTGCAAGAAGCAGGGGCAGATAACAAGCCCAAGATTGGAAAGAAGGATGGCAAGCTCTCTCCTTATTATTCTGATGAAGGAAGTGCAATTTAAGGAAAATTGTAGTAGGAGGGAGAGACTGGGGGTGTTTCAAGATCTCTACATTCTCACTACCCCATGATTTTTGGTTCATGGGAGAAAGGGAGGATTGAGGAGAGAGATTTCACTAGTATTTCACATCTACAGTAGGATTTGGAGAACTATGGGATTTAACTCATACCATATCTAGTTGGTTGGAGAAATAATCTCTTTACGTTCAGAAATAAGATCATGAATATTTTGTCTTCTTCAGACTCCACATTAAGAGGAGGCTTGTAGATCACTCTGATATTGACGAGAGGCTCGTATGTTAAGCCACCCTTTTGGTATGCAGTTGGTAGATCCCGAGGTGATATATTTGCATCCATCACCTAGACATGTACTCCAAGCTTAGAGGAAGCGCTACATGTATTAGTGTGGGGGCAGTCTTTTGAGGAGTTAACTATATAAATTGTTGGTAAGAAAGTTATATTCAATTTATCTCATTGCCCCCCTTAACTTTTTGCAAATACGAATAGTGGTCCTAATCTTGTTTGTCTTCAATAAGTTAATGGTCCATTTGTTCTCCTAATCTACTAAAAGAAGTGTTTTTGTTATGAAACTAAATAGATGTGTGATTCATTAATTCATCATGGATATTAGTCACATACAATATCTCTCTTATTTAATATACTTTCTCTTATTTTTTAAAATTATTTTATAATAACATACGAATAGAGATAAATGATAAGTTATACTACCCCAAAAGCATTTAAGTCTTTCCAAAAATATCAATTTCTCAACAAGATTAAAAAAAATACTTACAAATTTATCACAGAATTGATTAATTATAGACATTCTTAAGATTTAGAACAACATAACCCTTCTACAAAAATCAATTTCTCAATAAGATTAAAAAGAAATTGCTAGAAATTTATCATACAATTGATTCATTTTAGATGATTCTTAAGATTTTAAACAATATTGCTGTATTTTTCTTTAATATATGATTGAGTTGAAGTGTGCCACAAAAAAAATTATTGTGTTCATATTTTTTTAAATGCTAAATTGATTTGGGTTGAGATTTTTGTATAGCAATTATGTTTTGGATCGTAATATATTTCTCATAGCTGAATTTTAAAAATTGGGCATAATTTACGGGCAATTTAATCCTAATCAGTGGAGAAGGTAGAGAATTTTGTATGTCAATAAATTAATTTTTTATTTATATTTCTTTCCCCACTGAGACATAATACTAACTCTGCCCCCACAAGAAGTTAGTGAGAAATTTGAAAGTTTCCATAATTGAATGTTCTTTTTCATTGATCATTCATTGCTTTCACTATTATCTTTTGAAAATTCAACAAAGGTGTCACAATCGAATGCAGTTAGCTTTCTCTTAATTAAGGCTGATAGTTATGTGCGTTTGCATTTGTCTTCCCTGGCCGTCCTTCATTTACTAAACTGGGTCCCCTGTCTTGTCTTTCTTAAGACATGCCTTTCCGTGGAACAGACAGAATTGCCTCCAAATTATGAAAAGGATAACAGTTATTTACTTTTTTGAACATCTTTTTTACTGTACAAAGTAAGCATCGAATATTTGTAATTACTCGTTAATTAAAAATATCAGTTTAATTGGATGAATGAATATACAGTGGAGAGTTAAAGAAGATGTAATTTTTTAATGACATTTGATATAATATGATTGAATATATATATATATATATATATATATATATATATATATAATAAATTAACTTACAATTCAAATTTTAAAAGATAAACAAAAACTATTCGCGGTTGAGATCGATTTAAATTTTATTTTAAAATTAATCTAACAGCTAATATTAATACCTTAAATTTAATAAAAAAAATAGGGTCTAAGAGTTTATTTAGAGTGACTTTTTAAAAGTACTTTTAGAAATTATTTCTCATAAATACTTTAAAAAAAAATAGTATTTGAAACCACCTCACTACTACTTCTACTACCACCACCGCTGTCGTTGCCGTCATCACCACCTCCACAATTGCCGCCACCACTGCCACAACCACCACCGCCACCACGGTCATTGCCACCCACCACAATCATTATCGTATCTTTCCACCACCACTATCGCCCACCACTTTTCACTCCCATTACAAATCGATACTTAAATTTATTTATCTCTTCTCTATGTTTGTGATTTGATTTTAAATATGAATACAAATATATTTATTGTTTACCATTTTTAATTACTATGTGCCTTCAGGCACATGCAATAACTAGTATATAATAAAGTAGCTTACAATTTAAAACTCAAAAGATAAATAAAATGACTTTTACTATTTCTAGTTGAGATCTCTTTAAATTTTACTTTAAAGTTAATCTAACGGCTAACATTAACACCCTAAATTTAATAAGAAAAATAAGGGCCTAAAGGTGTGTTTGGAGTGACTTTTTAAAAGTACTTTTAGAAATTATTTCTCATAAATACTTTAAAAAAAAATAGTGTTTGAAACCGCCCTACCACTACCTCTACCACCCCCACCCCCACCACCACTACCATTACCACCGCCACTGCCACAGTCACCACCACCACCACTACCGCCACCGTCGTCGCCACCACCACCACCACCATCGCCACCACCACCACCACCATCATCACCACCGCTACTGTCACCACCACCGTCATCGCCACAACCACCACCAACACCACAATTTTCACCACCACCACCACCACCGCTACTACCGCCACCACCACCGCCACTACATCACCACCACCGTCACCGCCACTACATCACCACCACCGCCATAGTCACCGCCTCCACCACCACCATCGCTGCCGCCCTCGCAGCCACCAACGCCACCACGGTCATTGTCATCCACCACAACCATCACCGTCTCCTACCACCACTACTGCCGCTCACGACCTCTCACCCCCACTATAAATTGATGTTTAAATTATTTTATCTTTTCTCTATATTTATGATTTGATTTTAAATATGAATACAAATATGTTTATTATTTACCATTTTTTATTACTTTGTGCCTTTAGACACAGACAATAACTAGTATCTATATATTTCAATAAAAAAAAATCAAAATTCATAACAAAAAAAAGGATAGGGAAGGCCTCTCAAGGCCCTTCCCAACTAACCTAAATCATGTGTGGTATGATTGATTTGGCAAGGAAAAAGTATTTTAAAATGCAAAAAAAAAAAAAAAATTATGGGATTTTTTTTCTCCACGAAAAAGAAATTTTCTTGCATTGGATGTATTTTCTTGAAAAATAAACTTTTTTTTTTTTGAAAATACACAAAAACATATTTTTTTACTATATTGATTGTGTATCTAGTTTTATGAGAAACTAGTTAAGAATAATTTATTTTTATTCAAATGAGAAAGAGCAATCTATATAACAAGATTGCTCATGATGTAAATTTTATCCCCTATATATTTTTCCTCTCAAAAATATCATATAACTCATTTTTATTACTTGCCCAATTATTTTAATATTTAATTAATTTATAGTTGAATATAATTTTTATTTAAAATATTATCCATACACGATAGTGTACATATATTGAGAAATTTTATCGAATTATGTATTTTAAAAAATTATTATTTAATATAGTGGGATAATTTTTTTTTAACACTAAAATTTTATGTTTCATTATACTTTCAAACACGAGTTATGACTAGTTTAGTTATAAGTACCAAACTATAAACTAAATTCTGTTTTCAATTTTCTTGAAAACTTTCATTCTAATAAAATGCATACAAGAAAATGCTTCATTTTTTTTTCCCCCCCTATTTCTCTTTTGTTGTTCCTTTATAAAAGCAGGACTACACACCACCAAGTCAGGATATAAGTTCCCCCACCACAAAAGCTTTTTCAGCTTCTTGATTTACCACAAGTCCTGGATCAATAGCATTACTTGTATTTAATTTGAGAATTTAAATTATTGTTACGGTTGAATTGACAATGGGTTTTTATTCAATATCACAAACCATTGCCAATGAAAGGGTGATAATACATTAGATATCTAAATTAAACTCCTATACCATTGCTTCTTTTAGATACTATCAAAGGTGGAATGGGTAGAACATTTGGAAGATGCACTTGAATACTCTCATGTTCTAACCCCACATTCCTCCATCATTCCAAAATCCATTCACCCTTAATAGTACTAATTGAGTTGAGCTTGTTGAGTTTGAAAGGACATAAATGTGGTTAAGCTATGCCGGACTAAACTTAAATTTTACCCAAACTTTCACTTTGTCGGTAAAAATTCTAAAAAATAATCTCTAGAACTTAAAAATAAATGTCAGAACAACCATATTATCAACAAAAAAAAAACTTTGAAATTATGTATAAGTTCATGAAATCTAACCCTACAAGTTTAAATTTCTAGAAAATATATTACAGAAGAGAGTGAAAAAGAATTATATATGACCAAAACGTTTTAATTTCAATAAAAAAATTAGTTCTGCTTTCGTGTTATTCTTGTATCGTTTTTTCATGTCTGATCACGTATAATCTTTTTCAATATCTTTTTGTTGGTTTGAGAAAATGAATTTTGTGCATCTAAACTAAGATCTTGTTGATCTATGAATTCTTTTTCTTCATGATTTCGATTCTTTAATTGAAAGGATTTTTTTTTTCATTCAATGGTATAAAAAAAATTGTATTTTAAGCCTTCTCGAGTTGATAATCTTTCAAATTGGGGGTTGGTTAACAATAAAATAACATTTATTTATAAACAAAAATCTATTTGTATCGCGGCAAACCTACTCGAGTCGAGCTGCACATTGTGTAGATTCATATTGTTTACAAAACAACTTTTATCGTAAAACAAACAAATTTATATAGGTGCAAAGAAATAAACTCAAACAAATAATAGAAAAAGTAACACTGAAAGTTACAAACGAGTGGGAAAATATATATCATCCGGTGTGTGCTTCATTCAAATGTGTATGTCCTATTTATTGGCAAAACAAATAGCCTTCTTGCATTATTGGTAGAAGGATGAAGGACTCCTATACCCACTAGATGTGATAACTATGTGTGTATTGTATGGTCATTTCCAAGTACTATTTGCTACTATTTATGTATAATAGTCACCTAAATTAATAGTATTTACAACAACTTAAAAATTTTATTACCTAAGTTCATTTTACAATTTCAATGGAGTATGTTTTTGAGACATGATAACTGCCCTAACTTGTTGGTATAATTATGTGACAAATAATTCTACAATAAATAATGTCCAATAGTTACGGTCACAATAATTCTATCAAAATCGAATCCAACCTGACCCAAGCTTGAACTATACGGATTATTTAACAGCCCTCTTGGCGCCAAACCGACCCAACATCCCTCACAACTTACTCTTGCGGTTGATGGGGCAT